AGGCACAGACATGAATAAGATATATTTCTTTTTTTTAGCTTTTTTGGGAAACGCCACACTGCACTCCACAATGGTTGAACACATTTACACTCCCACCAACAGTGTATGAGTGTTCCCTTTCCTCTGCTGCCTTGCTAGATCTATTATTTTTTTACTTTTTCATGGTAGCCATTCCCACTGGTGTGAGATGGATCTCATTGTGGTTTTGAGTTGCATTTCTCTAATAATCAGCGATATTGAGACTTTCTTCAAATGCTTTTTGACCACATGGATATCTCTTTCGAAAAATGTCTGTTCATGTCTTTTGTCCACTTTTTAATGGGTTTTTTCCTTGTAACTTTGTTTAAATTCTTTATAGATGCTAGATATTAGACATGTGTCATGCATAGTTTGCAAATATTTTCTCCCATTCTGTAGGTTGTCTGTTCACTGTGTTGATAGTTTCCTTTGCTGTGTAGAAGTTCTTCGGTTTAATTAGATCCCATTTGTCAATTTTTGCTTTTGTTATGATTGCTTTTGACATCTTTGTCATGAAATCCGTGCCAACATGGTACTGCCTAGGTTGTCTCTCAGGGTTTTTATAGTTTTGGGTTTTACATTTAAATCTTTTATCCATCTTGAGTTTGTTTTTGTATATGATATAAGAAAGAAGTTTATTTGACCAGCAATCTCATTACTGGGGATATACCCAAAGGAATATAAATATTTCTACCACAAAGACACAGGCACACAAATATCATTGCAGCACTATTCACAAAAAAAGACAAGAAATCAATCTAAATGTCCATCAATGACAAATTGGATAAAGAAAATGTGGTACATATACACCATGGAATACTACATAGCCATAAAAAATAAGATCATATCCTTTGCAGAAACATGAATGGAGCTGGAGGCCATCAACCTTAGCAAACTAACACAGTAACAGAAAACCAAGCACCACATGCTCTCACTTATAAGTAGGAGCTGAATGATACTACACGGACAAGCAGAAGAGAATGACAGACACTGGGACCTTCTGGTGGTGGAGGGTGGAGGAGGGAGAGAATCAGAAAAAATAACTATTGGGTACTAGACTTAGTTCCTAGGTGACAAAATAATCTGTACCACAAACCCCTGTGACATGAGTTTACCTATAAAACAAATCTACACATGTACCCCTGAACCTAAAGTAAAAGTTTAAAGAAGATACATTTCTTGCCTTGAGGGAACTTCAGCAAGTGAGAAGTTCACTTAAACTTCGGTAAGTGTAAAGTTCACTTACTGAAGTTAACTCCACTCACTTTCTCACAATCCAGTAAGTGGGACAGAAATACAGTCAAAATTCATAATACTGTGTAAACATACAACAAAAGAAAGGAAAGCTGGAAGACAAGGTCAGGCTAGGAGAGTTAAAGATGGCTTCCTAGAGGAGGTGATGTCTGAGTCAGGTTTTGAAGACGGAATAGGAGTTTGCTAGGCAGATAAAGAAGGAACAGCATTCCTGGCAAACATAACATTGTGAAGACAGCAGTGAAAACTCCCGATGTTTTCAGAGAAATGTAAACTATTCAGTGCTACTGAAGCTTAGTGTGTTGGAAGTAGTGGAGAATGGAAAGCATGCGAACTAAGATGTTCATGTCATTCTAAGAGGTTTGGACCCCATCTTGCACCACTGAGAGACTATCATGGTATTTTTAGAAGAGGACTGACAGCGTTTCATTTTAGAAAGGTCATTTTGGCAGCAATGCAAATCATCAGTCAGAGCCCAGCAGCCCAGCTAAAAGGCTAGTGCAGACATCCAGGCTAGTGATGGTGAGGGCTGGAACTCAGACAGAGTTCAGAAATTCTTTGTTGTGAAACCCAAGGGACACTCTTCAGTCCTTCGCCGGCTTGACCTCTCAGCAGTAGTTAACACTAATGAGCACATGCGCCCTCTTTAAAACTCCTTTTCTTTGACATTAATAATATATTTCCTGATGTTCTTCCTACTCCCCAGTCTCTCTTTCTCTGTGCTCCTATCTTTCCTTCCCAGCCCCTTAAGAATTTCTCAATTCTCAATCTTTGGTCCTCCAACCTTCACCCACTATGAATTCCTCCTGTGTATTGCATTTACTTTCTGTATTTTAAGTAGGGATGGCTCCCAAATCCGTCTTTCCACCCTACATCACTGCTCTGATCCTCAGACTCATATGGCTGAGAGCTCAGTAGACACCTGTGAGTTCTAGGAAGATAGGACAAATGTCCAGCTGTCACAAATAAGTGGGTATGGGGATATGCATGTATGGGTGAGTGCGTGTGTGTGTGCGTGTGTGTGTGTGTGTGTGGCAAACTGGAAAGGATTCATATCAGTAAGCTGAGGTTATTTTTATGGAAGAGGCAAACTTTCTTCTTTTTATGTTATGTGCATGTCCACATAGCCATTTGAATGTTCCCTAATGAGCATGAATTGCTTTTATGATTTTTAAAAATCTGAAGAAATATAAAGGATTATATTTTTTTTTCTTGAGACAGAGTTTCGCTCTTGTTACCCAGGCTGGAGTGCAATGGCGTGATCTCAGCTCACCGCAACCTCTGCCTCCTGGGTTCAAGCAATTCTCCTGCCTCAGCCTCCCGAGTATCTGGGATTACAGGCACGCACCACCATGCCCAGCTAATTTTTGTATTTTTAGTAGAGACGGGGTTTCACCATGTTGACCAGGATGGTCTCGGTCGCTTGACCTCGTGATCCACCCGCCTCGGCTCCCAAAGTGCTGGGATTACAGGCTTGAGCCACCGCGCCTGGCCATGATTATTTTAAATTGCATGCCCATACCCTCACCTACTACTGATCCTCCTCATTTCTCCCATGGCCAGTGCAACGGCCTCCAAATTTTGTTCTCTGCCTACAATCCCTTCCCTCCTTAGCTCTGCCCTCCAAACTGCTACTATCTCACCCACTCCTTAAAAACCTTACAGGATTGAGTTCACTCCTTGGCATGACTCCTAAGGCCCTTACAACCTGCTCCAGCCTTAACCCCCAGTGTTATTTCCTACTCTATATCCCTGCTCCCTCTTGGTCACACTGAACGTACCACTCTGCATATACGATGCTCCCCTTCACCAATGGATGCCTTCACCCTTGCCACTTCCGATCCAAGTGTTTTTCCTATTATCCCTGTTCCCCAAAAAATCTCCTCCTAATTCTTTGAGACCCATCTCAGTGTTATTTCCTGAACCTTTCAAGTAGTTATTACTTCCATAAACATGAGAGTAGTTGGTGGATCTCCTTTTTAGCATTTCCACAGTGAATTGTAAGGCGTCTCTGGTCCTGTCTTCACAAGACTGTAAACTCCTCAAGAATAACAATCTTGCCCCAGCCTGCCCTTGTCTTTCCAACACCTGGCTCATCACCTGGCTCATAAAAGATTTTCAATCAATGTTTATAAATGAATAGGAGGCAGATGAGCAAAGGCACTTGTGAACTTTGTGAGAAGTTCTTTTGGCTTTCTTCTACTTCTCCTCTCTTTACCCACCAGCACTGGCATCAGCCACTCTCCAAGATCCTACTTGCTACCCATCCCCACACACCAAGGTGGTTTCTCATCCGTGTTAATGGCTTTGCTGAAAGATTTGAGACTGCTGTCCTTAGCTGATTTGCCAGGGATATGACCTCTGACAACTGCTCAGCAAATAAGCTTCTGTTTCCTTATCCGACAGATAATGATATGCAAGATTAGCACTAGTTGTCGTGAGAATTAAATGAGATAGAATGTGTTCAGCAACTAGAGCAGAATTTGGGTCCCCACGGGAAAGTCAATAATACTTCTCTACTCTCCTTCATTCCTCCCAGTATTGTTCTCCATTTCACAGGGATCCTTGAAAACAAGAAAGACTTTACCATTTCTAAAGTGACTATTTGATGACACTGACAGCAGGTGGTGGTGGAGCCCCTAATGGCAAAAGAGACTCCTGGAGAGAGAATCCTGTGTGATCCCATCAGGTCATTTCACAAACAGCCACCTACTTTGTCTCCTTAAACAACCCTTCCCCCGTCACCCCCACGACAGTTCCTCCCAAACACTCAGCCCTCCTCCACTCCCATGCCCTTTCTCCCCACATTCTCTGCCTAGATTATTCTTACTCATTGTTCCTTGCTGGGGACCAGGGTCACCTCCTCTATAGAGGCTGCTCTGATGCCCTGAAATTAGTTCACTCCTCTCTGTGTGCTCCACAGAACTTAACACCCCCCTCTCCGCTTGCTACAGCCCATTAAGCTCAGGGCTCCATCTCTGGATCCTCTTCCCTACATTAAAGGAGAGCGTCCTTAAAAGTGGAAGGATTATCCCTTTCCATTGTCCTTAAGAGATTCTGCTCCACAAAATGGCCCGGCATTGATATCCAAAACTATGGAGTAAACAAATAGTAAATTAATTACAATTGACATAGGGAATTTTAAATCTGAAAGTCAATTAGTTGAGTTTGGAACAATAAAGAGTCTCTTATTGAATCGTTTCAGGGCACAGAGCGGCAAAAGATGCCATTATCACCAGATGATGCGGCGGGAATTCCTGGCTCTTCTCTATATATTGGAATTTAATTTCTACCTTAAATAAATCTCACTCTCAATGGGGGTTTTGACAATACCAGGGCCATTAATGAGAAAGAAAGCCCTGGAAACCTAATTATCAGCTCAAAAGACATCCAGGGACAGATATGTAAGGGAAAGGTGTGAAATTCGACTGCCGTATCATTCTGGGCTCATACTGTGTCTAGGTGTTTGTAACTAACGCAATTATTTTTTCAAACAGACATTTCAAATAATGGCATTTAAAGTGACTAGATAGTAAATTAAGAAAAGAAAGTAACAAATTTCATACAGACATCATCAAAAAGAGAGCCAGGGTGCGCTGACAAAGAAGACTGCTCCTTCAAGCAAGGTTGCCGCCCATTATTTGATGTGCAGTCTTTAAATTTAAAGATGCAGGTGGCCAAGAAATACTGTCACAAGAAAGAGTAGCAGAACACCATGACAAAATGGCTCAGAGATTCTGTTCCTTTTTATTTATCACTCAAAATAAAGGCTTTAACTGGCAAAAACAAGCTTTTCACCAGCTTGTTGGTTGAAAGATGATGGTTACTTGCTGCGTATGTATTAGAGGCCACGCGGTTTTATTGTTTCATTCTGTCCTTCCAGTGGCCTGAATTCAGCCCCCCTCTATGTGCACATAATCTTTAACAGCATACTCTGCTGTCTCATTATCAAATTTTTTCAGAAATATTCAAAGAATTTTGGAAATAGTCACTGCAAAAAGACTGTGACAATTCTCCCTACCGGAGGATAATTTGGTCATAAATATCAAAGGCATTAAAAATGTGTCTGCCTTTAACACAGAAATTTGCCTCTAGGAAATTTATCCTAAGAAAATTATTAAAGATGTGTGCAATTATGTGTCTATAAGGATGAGCACTGGAGTGACAACTTCAAATCCTATAAGTATCTGACCATGACAAATAGCTAAAAAAATTATGATGCAGTCACATAATGAAATACCATAGCATCTCAAACTATATTATAGACATACTTATTGTCACAGGGAGTTGTTCAGAATATAGTAAATGGAAAAAAATTACGAAACAATATGAATAGCATGATCTTGTTTTTGTGAGGAAAACAATATAGTGTAAGTCTTCTTTATTTAACCTAACTGGGTCACAGGTTTGGTTAAAGAAAAAAGTTAAAGTAGGCTGGGTGCTGTGGCTCATGCCTATAATACCAGCTCTTTGGGAGGCCAAGGCAGGCGAATCACAAGGTCAGGAGTTCAAGACCATCCTGGCCAACTTGGTGAAAACCCGTCTCTACTAAAAATACAAATATTAGCCTGGCGTGGTAGCGGGCTCCTGTAATCCCAGCTACTCTGGAGGCTGAGGTAGAAGAATCGTTTGAACCGGGAGGCGGAGGCTGCAGTGAACTGAGATCGCCCCATTTCACTCCAGCCTGGTGACAGAGTGAGACTCTGAAAAAGAAAAAAGAAAAAAGTTAAAGTGGTAAAACATAGAAAAAATATACATACGCACATAGATTACACATCTTCGTTAAACCTAAAACATGAATATATACTCTTCTACCAGTCACTTGTTAAGGGCTAAGACTCACTTTGGGGGCTATGGAGGGTTTTTTCATAGGGTTTTGCATTGTCTGTCTTTAGGTACTGCACTTTACAAACTATAAATATTTCCAGTTTCAATTTCTTTAACTGGGGAGGAAATGTAAGGACAGTTATCAAGCAATCTAAGTTCAAAATCCTCCCACACTTTTAAAAATTTTATTCCAACTCTGGCAATTGTCTTATCTACACCTAGTCTGATGGCAAATATTTGGCAAGTTGACTTTTAAAACTTTTTTCCATAACATTAAAGTTAATTTTCATCTGTGACTCACACCTGTCATCCCAGAAGTTTGGGAAGCCAAGGTGGCTGGACTGCTTAAGCTCAGGAGTTTGAGACCAACCTGGGCAACATAGTGAATCCTCATCTCTATTAAAAAATATTTAAAAATTAGTTGGGCATGGCGGCATGCACCTGTTGTCCCAGCTACTCAGGGGGCTGAGCTGAAAGGATTGCTTGAGCCTGGGAGGTCAAGGCTGCAGTATGAGCTGTGATCATGCCACTGCACTCCAGCCTGGGCATCAAAGTGAAACCTTATTTCACGCAAACACACACAAAATATTTATGTGTGTTTGTGTGTGTGTGTGTGTGTGTATCATACACACACATATATGTAAATATATATATTTTTTAAATAAAGTTAATTTTCATCAGTTTGCATACTTAGAATAACACAACCATTATAAACAGATATGGGTTAAAACAGTATAAACATATTTGGCCAAGTAGAGGTCAGGAAGAGGTGGAGATGCTCCTCTCCCTATACCATGCGTGGCTGGCTCATGGGCAACCTTCTGACCTCAGCTGTGTCACCTCCCCACAATGTCTCCCATAACCATCCTAACTGCTCCTCTTATTCTTCCTCACACCACATCATCCTATTTTTTTCTTCTGAAAATCATCCTTTGTAATTCTCCTACTTGACTTCTAATCACTTGCTTATCATCTGTCTTCACCACTGGAAACTAAACCTGTCCATCTGACTGCACACTAACACCCAGCACAATGTTTTAACATCATTGTCATTTGATACTTACTGAGTGTATACGTATATGCTCATTGTATATATGTATGAATGCTTGTGGTTTAAGTGATCTAGTGATTTTGGGGGGCAAAAAAATTATTCTGTCTCATCAGAGACAGAATATGTAATCTTGCAGTGATATTTGGATGACATTATACATATATATTTGGGGTGCGGCCGTAATCTTCATTCTTTCCCCTAATCGAAATGTTTGTATTCATTCATTTTCATTTAATATTCATCCTCATTATAAACAAATATCAATAAGAATATAATTAATCACTGAACAACTCATAGGCAGTTATAACCTCCAGAGCGAGGCGAAACAGGGCCTAAGAAATAGTCTCTTGAGGGTTCCTATGAATGTTTTTGTTCCTGTAAAACCAGCTGAGCCATCCGTTGAGAGGTGGCATCAAAGGTCAGTTGCTTTGGGGTACTAGCGATCAGATATCTTAAAAGAGAGATCCCTAACATGAAAAATATCATATAAAAAGTTGTAGCAAAGCAGAGAGCCAGGAGGAGTTTAACTCTGAGACGAACCGCTCTGATGGATCTAAGAGCTTGGTGGAGGAAGGTCTTTCAGTTATATAGCAGTGCTAGCTAGTTGAGGTTGGCAAAGCTCTCAAGCTAGGATGTCAGTGCTTTTGGTGACATTATTCGCGGTCTTAGTTATCTCTCATAAAAGGGTAGGCATGACACAATCACTTCACTAGACTTCCTTAGTGACCCCATTAGCAACTTGTCCGTGGAGAAATGCAACACATGCGTGATCGGCTGCTGTGGTGAGTCCTTCAAGCTGTCAGTTTTCAACTGGCTGGGCTTCTTCAGAGAGTATGGGAATAGGCCCTCTGCAAGACAACAGTTCCCAATGGGGATCTGGGCAGTCAGGTTGTAGTTCTCAGTGATGCTGAGTCAGACAGACAGGAGGGAGGAAAATTGGAAATGTCAGTTTGCAGAATTATAGCCAGATACTGAAGTAGAATGAAAAAATTAAAAATTACTTCAGTGGCATAGAAAAAAGAAAATAAAGTCAATCTAAAAAATGTGTTAGGCCAGGCGCAGTGCTTCATGCCTGTAATTCCAGCACTTTTGAGGCAGGCTGAGGCCAAGGGTTTAAGATCAGGCTGGCCAGCATGGTAAAACTCCGTCTCTACTAAAAATACAAAAATTAGCCGGACCATGGCAGCACGCATTTGTAGTCCCAGACATACAGGAGACTGAAGCAGGAGATTCAGCAAGTCTTGAGTGTGTTGTAAACATCTGCATTTTTATAAAACTGCAGGGATAAGTGATGTAAATTCCCAATTGAAATCTCCTGGGCTGGGAGAGGTTAGATTCAAATTCATAAAGTAAATTTGCACCCAAGTTAACGTTTAAAATAATAACTGAATCTGTGACTGATAATATTATACTGTTGTTGTCTATTATCAAGAAAAGCAGTATCAGGACTCAGATATTAATAAACCAAAGCACCATGGACAGCAAGGGCACTGACAGTTCTCTAGGAACTTCTCTAAGAGCATATAATTTCCAAAATATTTGTATTAATATTTTACTCTTACAAATTTAACCTAGAGAAGGCAAAGCCTCTCTTGTGATTTGACAACTCTTCCCAAGCAACTCATCAGTAATAACATATCACATCAACCCAATTATTTGATGCCTCTCCTTTCACAAGGTTTTTTCACAAAAACAAATTGTTTGTGATTTTCTAGGGACCCTATGGAACTCTGAAAGTCAGTTTTATATGCAAAAGGTATCATTTAGGATTCAGTTTGGGGAAGATAGTCTGACTCACTACGGAGCACCCAAACAGCAATCAGAGCATAACATGCTCCAAGTAGCCTCGGTACCTGGGTGGAGTGAACAGGGTTCCAAAGGTGCGGATTCCACTGCTGTCCGAGACACAGCACCAAAACTGTGAAGGACAAATTGCACCAGTCAACTGAGCGATGATTTTATTCAGGTTGTTGGGATAAAGAGAACACTTATTAACGAGGAGGCCCTCAAAGACAGTGAAAGGAGTGTAGGGCTTCACAGAGGCAGATAAGCAAGCACAGCTTATCTGCGAGTCTTACAGGAGCCATAGGGGAGGCTGCGGTGGGTTTTATCCAAGAATACACATGGCAGGATGTTCTTTCTGGTGACAAGGACTCCCTCCTCAACCAAACTTTAGTCAGGCTCCTCTTGTAGCAGGACAAGCTGCAAATGAAACCTCCCGGACACCAGATTTAAAGCAGGAAGTGGCTTTATTCAGCCAGGAGTGTCGGCAGACTTGCATCTCAAGAACTGAGCTCCCCAACAAAGAAAATCCTCGCCCTTTTAAAGGCTTACAATTCTAGAAAGTACATGTGAGAGGGTCGTGATCGATGAAGTTGGCGTGGGGTATGTGACCAGGTAGGGGTTTGAGCAAGATTCGAGAACAACGGAAGGCGTTTCTCCATATTATGCCTGTGATCTGCAGAGACGAGAGCGATTAAGGGTGGGGGATTTAATCTTCAACCTCCAGGCCTGATCAGCAGCTCCAGCCAACCTCGCCACTGACCTCATGGCTGCTACATCTCAACTTTTACTTCCTCCTCCTCTGAGACAAGGGACAAGAAAGAGGGGTCTGTTCCCTCACTCCGAACCCTCTTCCCAACGAGGCTTGAAACTTGGCCTGCTGAGCCCAATTCAGCAAGAACCCTGCCAAGCCAGTTCAACAAGAATCCCCCACTCTTTCTACCTACCCAGCTCCTCTTAGTAATTTTCCGTCCACTGACTTTCTCACCCCGCCTGCTGACTATGGGTTGCCAGCTGTTTCTGTTATATTCGGAGTTGAGCCCAATCTCTCTCCCCTGCTGCAATAGTCTTGAATAAAGTCTTCCTTGCCTGTTTAATTTCGTCCAGTGCAATTTTTCTTTGACAACAGCCATTTCAGGACACAAGCATATGGGAGGATGTCTTAACTGTCAGTGCTTTCTGGAAACACAGGGCTCAGATAAAGTTCAACAATTGTCAGAGGATATAACAAAATTGCTCTCCCACAGCGGTTCGCATCAAGTAATTAAGTGCTCTCTTGATTAAGTCTAAGTTCTTTCTGCCCATGAATGAAACATCATTTATCAAAATGTATTCTTTGGACGCTTCCCTTGGGTCAGACCCCATGAAGGGGAACATCAAGATGATTAAGATAGAATATGAGAAGACATCAGCTCTTCCATAATGCAAAGAACGTCTTATCTTGTTAAAAAGTCAACTAACCAAAAATATCTTTAAGATTTTACTCCTTGTACAATCATGGCCCCTTTAAAGAATTTCAATGTCATCATCCTCTTTGTTCTCCAGAACAAATACCGTGCCTCCCTTTGTTTTCAAATGTATATCTGACCTCTTTTCAAATGTATATTCGGCGTCCTTTCAAATGTATATTATCAGTACTCCTTTTAAATGTGCCCCTTTCAAATAGATTTTTGGAAGTCTGGCAACTTGTTATAAGTTTGCCTTCCCTTCCCCTGTTCAGTGTCTTTTTGTCTGCGTTTTCTTACCTCAGTGCCGTGAGGCTCCTTCTGCCCAGCTGACCACAAGGCCGACCTTGAAGGGCTGATTGGGTGTAAAAGAAAACTTGTCATTTTGATGTGTTAAAAATCCGGGCCCAGGCAAGTTCCTGGCTTCTGTCTAGTTTACTCCCTGATTTCTTTCTGTAATTCAGGTCTCGTAAGCAGCAACATCTTGACGTAAAATTCTGGCTCTCTGGCCTTTACACACACACACACACACACACACACGCACACGCACACACCCTACAACAGATTACTGCATTGTAAATACAGCTGAGGTAAATTCTTCACACCTGATCACTTCTAAGTCTAAGATGATAGCAAATCCATGTCCAAAGAGCACTTTAGGAATCTCAAATGTTAAGTTTCTTCTCAGAGTCCAAGAGTATGGTTCTCTGTCAAGAGGTTTATTAAAGAAGTCACTGTGTTTTAACATTAAAGTTTTGGTACAAAAAACAATTGGATGCAGCCCTAAGCCACTCTCAAGCATGCTCTGTCTCTCTCTCTCTCTCTCTCTCTCTCTCTCTCTCTCTCTCTCTCACACACACACACACACACACACACATCTTTACATTTTTATCATCCTAACCCGTCAATCCATTACACACATGTCAAACTGACCCATCCTGACTTGTATGAAGCTGTCTTCTCACACAGGGATGCTGAAACATGTGTCTGCAGGCGAAGCGTAGAGCACAGTGAACAGAACCTTGGATAGTGCATTTCTAATGAGAACTTCAATTCTCCTCTGACGTTTTTCTTTCTGACACATCCTTCTTGAACTCGAGCTCATCATAAGGTCTACAGAAAACTGCAAGCCAGAACCCTCCCTCACCATGCTCTGTGCAGAGAGTCAATCTGTGAGTGGGAAAGAAACATTTCTTACTGAGAAAAATGTTCCCTTATAAGCTCATGATAATAGCACCTGCCTATGAAACGACATTCCCTTTCTGAAACTTTTATCCCACCTATCAGTTATATTTCTGGGTGAATGTTTTGCTTTTGAAGCAGCTGCCAGGATGTTATGGGCTGGCGTGATTGCAATTTACAAGTATTTCATAAATCACGGCAAGATTGAAAACGCTTGTGACAGATGAGGCTTTAAATTGTCATCCTGTCTTTTTATGGGCATTAAAAAGGTGGACCTCATGACATATTCTACAGATGCATCCCCTTTTCTCAGCCAAAAATCCCTGTCTTGCACAGCAACAGAGAGAAAGAGACAGAGATCTCTAAGGGTGGTAAACTACAACTCTCCACATTGTGTTTTAGAAGAGGAAAATATTCTAACATTAAAACTATGATCCTCAGCGTTTGTAAATGCTTGAAAGGCAAAGTCCATGATTCATCTCCTGCGTCCAACACAATCTATAAATTTCATGAGCCCCAATGAATTCCCAAGTGCCATGAAATTTAAAAAAAGAAAACATTAGATCAACTCTCCTTGGGAGAATGAAGAAACTTACAATTTCCATAATGAAGATCACAAGGTCAAGCAGTGGCTCAACTGGGAAACTCACGAGAAAATTATCAGCGCCTGCTGTCTACACTCCCTGGGCCATAGTTTCTCAATTTTGGCTAAATAGTCAAATCACCTGAGAAGCTATCTAAACTACCCCATTCCAGACCAATTTAATCAAGTTTAGTGAAGGTGGATGCAGCTGAGGCCCAAAAGGTCTCCAGGTGATTCTAGGATGCAGCCATTTTGATGCTCGCTGGTCCAAAAGCATAAAAGCAGACAATATAAATGAAAGAAATGGGCAGGAAGTCACACATCCAGGAGTAGGGCAGATTCTAACAAGCTAGAAACCACATGCCTGGGTATGGATTTAACAGGTACTATTGCTGCTTAGCTCCAGCTGGAAAGAATATGGGTCCATTGCCAGACTTTCTAATTTGTTAAGAAAATCCAGAAATTCGCAGGGGGGAGGTTTAACATGAAATCTCCTGGATTTTAAATGTTGAAGAATAATTCAAAAATTTTTTAAATATTACGCAACCTAAACAAAATGTATCTTGGAACTACAAGTTTGCTACCTCTATCCTAGATATACTGACTTAAATATTAGGAATTCCATAAATAAAAATCCTTCACCACCACCATCATAAATGGCCAGCGTGATGCTCTCAAGCCCGCAGGCAAGCTCATGGAGAAATGTCCTAATGAAATTCACAAATACCAGTTACACTGGCCCGAGGTACAGGAGGCCTTCTTCTCTGAAGCATTCCTTTCTGTGGTTTCTGTTACCTGAGGTCAACCAGTTCGAAATAGTAAATGGAAAATCCCAGAAATAAACAATTCATAAGTTTTTAATTGTGCGCCGTTCTGGGTAACATGAGACTGCATGCCATCCTACACAATCCCACCTGCAACATGAATTTGTCCAGTGAATCCACTGTAAACACTCCCAGCTGTTAGTCACTTAGTAGCTGTCTCGGTTACCAGCCCAAGAACAGCATCGCGCATGCGCGCGTGCGTGTGTGTATGTGTGTGCGCGTGTGTGTGTGTGTGTGCGTGCGTACACATACATATATATACATGTTTTGGTCCTCTCTGCAGTTTCAGGCATCCACTGGGATGGATCTCAGACTCCACTAGTGTTCTTGGAACTGGGGGAGGTCTTGGAATATATCCCCCTCTGATAAAGAGGGGCTACTGTATATGAATGACAACCACAAACATGGAAGTCACAGTTGCTGGATTGGCCCTCCCATTTTTAGATTTTAAGTTGCATTTCCCCAAGTGCTGCTGCTCCAGGGAAGGGAGCTGGCTTCCACATACACCCTGTTGCTGTGCTTGTCATCGGCTGAGGAGACTCAGAAATTCAGTCACCATTAACCCCAGACCTTCATTCGGCCTTGTCTCTCAGAACCGCTAAAACAACTCTTTTACTTGCTTTTTTCAGTGTTTGCTGACACAAGAGTACAGGAGGAAAGAGAAGGAGGACAGCAATCAGTCCTAGCTCCTTCCAGCATTCACACAGTGACTACCGCTAATGACGCCTCTCAGACCTGTGTTTGAGGAGACCTATTTTCTCCATGAATTAATGCCAAGTGACCTACTTTTCTACATATTATTCATTATTTGTGCTGCTGTTTTATCGATTTTGAGATTGTTTTGCTACACAGGAATAAAAAATCCAATACAATAAAACTCCTCTCATTGAAAATAACATGGCCACACCATGATAAATAAATTTAGTTTTTCTTTGTGAAAAGATAGCATCTGTAGACTACATTTAGGCTGTGGGAATTAGCTGAAGGCTGCTTCAGTGGATTAAAAAGAGCAAAAAGAAATATAAATATATTAATGTTTAGACACGAACCTAAAATAAAATAATAGACTACATTTCTAAGTTTTAAAACTTGTTTGCTTATAATAGTCTAGAGATATTTATTTCATAAAAGAGCACAATGTTAGTTTTATAAGACTATATATATTTTCTATTTATATTCCTCTTGTCCCATTTTTCATGTGCATTATATCATCTGATTTTATTATGTCTCATATTTTATTTATTCCTTTATGAGGCTGTGGGATTTTATTTCTTGAAATCTTAGTGGAATGTTTACTAAAAAACAGATAATTAAAAATAAAACCACACAGCTCACACACTCTTTTTGTTTTATATGCAATTATAAATGTATTTTCAAGGCAATTTTAATGCCCAATTTTCACAAAGCATCTTCTTCTCCTGTGCAGCATGTACTCTAAGGAAATCTTAAAAAGAGGCTGTTGGCATAACTTTGGTAATTGAAGCCTCAGAGATTCCACCCACCCAGGAATGCAAAGGAGTGACTTGCATTCTGTTGATAGAAATAATTGTATTTTTTTGGTACAAGTGGGTTTCCCAGAGAATGTGTCCTTGCCAGGGGGTGTTGGAAGAGAGCAGTTTAGAGAGAGGCAGGAATCACTGGGACACAGGACACAGCCTGGAGGAGCCGTCATTCTAGTGTGGCTGCCATCTTGCTATTTCAAATGCTCTCCCACTGACCTGCAGCAGCACCCTGCACATTGACTATCTGTGCCATGTAGCTACGCGAGGATACACCAGTCACACTCTCCTCTAAAGCAGTGAGGGTCACCACTGTCAATTTGCCCTGCCCTTTCCTTGCTTTCCCTTCCTGTGAAATCAACAGCAAGATTTCCATAGGCATAGAAAACCACCAGTACACCGCCGCCTTCCTGATGAGGCCATCCAGAACACAGAGCTTGGGAGTCACAGTGTTACAGTGGTGTGTCCTACAATCTCCCCTCTCCTCCTTGGATCTTCCTGTGCTGATAAAGCGACAGTAAGGAGAATTCAGGAACTCCATGAAAAAGAAAAATGTTTTGATCCATAAAACTTCCATCCAAAACTGGGAAACTGGATGTGTGTTCAGGTCCTAAGAGCCTTTCCTTGCTTCCACTCCTTTTTTTTTTTTTTTTTGAGTCAGAGTCTTGCTGTGTTGCCAGGTACCAAACTGGAGTGCAGTGGCGTGATCTCGGCTCGCTGCAACCTCCGCCTCCCAGGTTCAAGCAATTCTCCTGCCTCAGCCTCCCAGGTAGCTGGGATTACAGGTGCACGCCACCACGCCCAGCTAATTTTTTTTTTTTTTTTTTTTTTGGTATTCTTAGTAGAGACGGGGTTTCACCATGTTGGCCAGGTTGGTCTCGATCTCTTGACCTCATGATCCACCCGCCTCGGCCTCCCAAAGTGCTGGGATTACAGGCTTGAGCCACCGCGCCTGGCCCCCTTGGTTCCACTTTTTTTCTCACTTTCATGTTTGATAAATTAAAGTAATTCACAGTTGTCCATCCATGGACAGATCAAAGGTCACCCCTTCAGGAAGCTCTCCCAAGTAGGCCCCCCCATCACTTCCATAACTCCTGTTGCACCTCACAGCATTGTCCCTATTGCCTGATCCTCTGACCTTCAGTGTGGGGGCTTGGCTTCCCTGGTAGCCTGTGACTTCCTTGAGGCAGTGCCTGAGACTTAACACATCGGTAGCCCCAGGGCTTAGCCCAGAGTATGAGACACTTAAGAGATGCTCAGCAAATGGCCACACATTGTTAACACATACAGTCTACAACCTCTGCATGTCTCAGCTCAGTTACAGTTGTACTCACTCATTCACCAAACATTTACTGTTCACCTTCCTGGGGCAAAATGGGGCTAAATAGTAAATATACATTATTTAGTGTGAAGTTCAGTTCTCCTTCAAGAAGAGTATTTTTCTCACAGTTTATAGGTATGTAAACAGACACTCCAGAAGTTTTTCTAACAAAGGTCAGAAAGCCAGTAAATGACAGAGCTTTGATTTAATCTCAGGTATGTTTAACTTAAAAACCTGTTTTCCCTTTTCAATCTCAATGCTACTCAAAGAAAAATGCTTCTATGGTGTGTTATGATTAGGAGAAAATAAACTGAAAAACAGATCTGTGAGCGTGACCTTCCCACCATGCTCATTCACACAACGTCTCTCTCCCTGCCTCCTGTGTAATTAAAAATATCCATTGTTTGGAAGGCCATTATCTCAAAAAACAAAGTCAACATCACCACCTGAACTAGACATATTAAGTATCCCACAGCTAGTACTCATATTGCTTCAAGTTATTTTATGAGAAATATAGTACAAGTATTGCCTTATATTTATTTACATTGAAAAAGAGAATTCTGCTACTACAGACAACTGCACAGGCCCTACTATGTGCTACAACATGTCTTACCATCTGACAACCCCCCAAAAGTGAGATTTGCTGATTCACTAATTCACGACAGGCAACTCATTATAAGCTTAGCAAGCTGAAACTCCAATATTTAAAATGTACCTCTAGAAAATTTCCTCATAATGAAGAAACAAATATTTTAAAACCAAAAACTACAATGGAAACAGTTCGCGTATTGGAACCATCATGCTCTTGCTTGATGGGTGTCTGGCCCAAACCTGTCTCTGGTTTTACATAAA